ATTTTTTGAAAGCCATAGATAATTTCCAGTATGAATGTTATTAGTCTATTTGGCCACCAATGACCACTGTTTCTCATTCTTTGCATAACGTATACTTTACAGGAGCAATAAAATGTTGTATTTTATCAGGAAATAGTTAAAGGTGAAAGGGAATATTATTCAGTTTGATCCTAATTTATGCCTTTTTCGGCCTTACAATAACTTTCATTAAAAAAAAGTATTGTATTGAAGGAGTGGTGTTCATGTGAACTTTAGATCATCTTTAACTTTAACTTTGTATATGCCTGCATTTTTACCTTTGCCATTGATATTGATTTCAAATCCACTTTTAAAATGAACCCTTTGAGAGTTTGAGAATCACACAGCAAAATGGAAAAAAAAAAATCATCCTAGAAATTTGGCCACATATGTTTTGATTGGAAATTAGACTTACAAGACAGCCTTACCTACATTTTCTGGTAGTGTATTTGGCGTTTGAAAAATAAATAATTAAAAATTGGCAGCAGGTTGACAGCTGAACATGCGCTTTGGGAGGAAAAAACAGCCATGCTGTCCATGGTGCTGAATTGCATTTACCGTCTTGAAAATGGAGTAAATGGCTTAAAATAGTAACATTGGTTACTCAATATATAAAAAGTATATTATACCAATGTATTCAACTTAACATATTATACTTAAATCTCAATTGTGAATCATCTTTTAAACAAGTGCCTCCAACATTTACGTCTTCAACGTCTGACGTAGTATGTTTTTACACAACTGACGATAGCATTCCGTGTTGTCCACTTGGTGTCGGTACAATATAACAAGCCTGCAAAGGGGACAGGACCTCCCCAAAGCGAACCTTTTGTTCCATATTCCACTGACGGTTGTACATTTATTTTCAGAATATGAGCACAGTGAGATCGTATGGTGTTCGTAGCTAGTGGCACTACCAGAAAAGACCCCAGAGGACATATGAGACCGAGTAACGATGGTGGGAGAAAATGGAATATGTGATCACTGCTGGCTTGTTTTTTATTTCACTCCATTGCTGATTTTCGGAAAGGTTACCGTGGCTGAATTGAGATACTCTGTCCCGGAGGAGGTTAAAGCTGGAACTGTTGTGGGGAATGTTGCCAAAGATCTTGGTCTTGATAAAGCCTCTTTAACCGATCGACGGCTGCGTGTGGTCTCTGGATCCGAGGACGCTTTTTTCGAGGTAAACTTGGATAGTGGTGCCTTAGAGGTTCGCACAAAAATTGACAGGGAGGAGCTATGTAACAATAGAGGAGCATGCCTGATGGAGCTGAAAATCCTGGTTGAAAATCCTTTGGAAATGCACCACATTATTGTGGAAATCACAGATGTAAACGACCACTCCCCATGTTTTCCCGAAAACGAGATGAAATTTGAAATAGCCGAGCATACATCTCTGGGAACACGGTTCCAGTTACACGCGGCCCGAGACCCCGATGCCGGAATAAACTCAGTTCGTACGTACACATTAACGCCAAACGATTACTTTGATATAGACATAAGTCAAAGCGATGAGGAAAAAAAACCTTTTCTGGTGCTGAAGAAGTTGTTGGACAGAGAACAAAACCATGAATTATTGCTGCTGTTGACAGCAATAGATGGAGGTAAACCTCAACGATCAAGTACACTTAATATTTCAATAGATGTTCTTGATATTAACGACAACCGCCCAACATTCAGCAAAGAAACTTACGAAATAGAAGTTTACGAAAATATCCCGACGGGTTATATCCTTGCAAGACTTGAAGCAATAGATGAAGACGAAGGTGCAAATGGCGAAATAGAATATAGCCTGAGCAAAGCACTGACACGTAAAATTCATAATTTATTTGAACTGGATCGTTTCAGTGGGCAAATTAAACTGAAGGGTGTTTTAGATTTTGAGGAATCCGAAAATTACAAACTTGATGTCGAGGCATCTGATAAAGGAATGCCTCCATTGATCGGAAGGTGTAGAGTGATATTGAAGGTGAAGGACGTGAACGACAACTCTCCAAAAATAGACGTAACATCCCTGTCAAACAGCATACCCGAAGATTCAAAACCAGGAACAGTTGTTTCACTTATTAGTGTAACAGATAAAGACTCTGGTATGAATGGAAAAACTGTTTTACGCATAACAAATGACGCGCCTTTTGAATTAAAGTCCTCTTATAAAGACAATGTATATTCACTTGTCACAAAGGCGTATTTGGACAGAGAGATCGAGTCATATTATGAAATAACAATACTAGCAACTGATTGCGGTGACCCACCGTTATCAACTATGAAAACGCTCAGTATTCAGATTTCCGATGTAAATGATAACAGCCCTAGTTTCGACCAGAATCCATTAAATTTTTATTTGTCAGAAAATAACGTGGCAGGTTCTAATATATTCTCTGTGAAGGCCACGGACATCGACAAGAATGAAAATGCAGATATCTCTTTCCATATCGATAGACGAGGGAGAGAAAATGATGTAACATCTTTCCTAAATATAAATTCAGAGAATGGA